CATCTGTCCTGCATTGATCTATCTCCCATGTAACAATAGTTTTTTTGGGGGAAACCTTAACCATTTTGTCATTTAACTTAATTTGGGAAGATTGCCACACTATGTCTTGGAGGGAACAGAGCTTTATCATCTTTCCTGAGATATCTTAGTTTTTGCCTTGTAAACTTAAACTTCCTTCTGTTGCTTCAGTAATTTACTCACGCATCACATCTGCTAAATCACGTACAGGGAATTTAGAGGGAATTAGATCAATAAACGAAAAGGATATGGGGAAAAGCCAAGAGAGTGAGATTAAACAGAGAGCTAGCACTGGCACGATAGATTGAATGGCCTCCTGTGTGGTAATTTTCTATGGTTCTTACAGCATTCCCAAGCCAAATTTGTCTCACAAATCCCAGAGTGAAACAAAATGAGTTACACAGTTTTTGAATTGTCCAAAAGTTGTTAGAAACTTTAATTGGATTAGAAGTCATGCACTACTAATACAGTCCTTACAAGTTGTTTTGTTGCCATATGTTGTGAAAAACAATCTGTCATGTTAATATATTATAATTTTAACCAGTTTTATTTGAGCAAGTTTGGCAATTCTCCCATTGTCTTCTTGGACATTTGTCTGTTTAACTGAACAGAGGAAAGTAGGAACAGGGGAAACCATTTGGCCCATTTCACCAGTTTATTGGATCTTGGCGGAGTGATTTAATCCCAATGTTCTATCCTTTCGCCATACCCCAAAATAACTACTACCCAAGTATTTGTCCATCTCTCTTTTAAACATCTCTGACAGCTGATTTAGCTTTCTGGGGCAGAACACTCCATATCTTCACAACTCTGTATGAAGAAATGCTTCCTGAACTCAGTTTTAACTATAAATAAAACACTCACTCTGGGATTGAGTGACCAAATTGTTAATTTTTTTAAAGGAATTATTACCCCCGGAAAAGCGATCCGCCATTCGACTAACAACCGTGTTTCTTCTTACCGCTAGGTAAACAGGTGTGTGGAATAAGGAAACTTGCCCAACGTTTCGCCCTGCTGGGAATCAAATCCAGGTCTCTCACTTGCGAGGCAACTAACCACTGAGCTACAGGACTCCATCTTAATAATCCTTGCATTTCATAATAGCGCATCATCACGTCTTTGAGACCATTAAAATTGGATGTGCTCAAATGTTTGCCCCCACTGATGATGAGGCCATTTGACTTGAAATGATGTATAATAATGTGACCAAAGCAATATTGTGACACCTCACAACATTGGTTACTAATAAGATATGTTTATTTTTGCCTTTTGCGCATCATTCATCCATTGACAATTAACTAATGTTTTTTAAATCTCTTTATTTTATGAGCATTTAGATGGAATGTTGTATTCCACTTAGCTCCTCCTCCTTGGACATTCCAATGAGATCAACATTGTGCTGTGTATTATCAACATATATTTGTATCTGATCTCTCCTCCTGAAGCAAAAGGCACTTTATAAATGTAAATTGTGTTGTTTTGTGTTGTGTTCATTATAAATCTATATGGTACTCCTCGACGCATCTTTCCGATTTGACCAGACCTTCATGAATTTTATCCTATTTATATTAGTCATCTTTTACCTGGAATCATCAGCACATTTTATGTTACAATAAATATTTTTCTCAAAATAATTTCTCAATACCAGGGAACTTGAACACACCCTTTTTGGAGCTGCCCAGATGGAGCTTTCTCTATTGATCTATCATTACTCAACTAGTTTTTAAGCCAAATAGCTCATTTGCCATTAATTTCATGATCTGGCTGCTCATTGATGAGTCAGAAATCTTTATTTTATGTGTATAATGTGCAGCTGTTGTCTTGAGAACTATTGGGAAGGTATTAGGAATATTTGCTGGGTAATTGACAATAATATTTCTTTCAACAGTACCCTTTAAGAAATTAGACAGTTACATTCTACTTTGCTCCAAGATAATGGCATTGACAGACACAAACTTATTAAATTCCTATATACATCATTACTGCTCTCTGCCATTACTAGGCACGGTTCAGGTTATGTCAGGGATGCACTGTATTTGTCTGGTCATTTTTATGTCAAGGAAATTCGTTATATTCGTTGGGCCTTTCACGTTGGGAGGACATCTCAATGCGTTTTACAACAACAACATTACATTTGTATAGTGCCTTTCACGTCAGGAGGACGTCCCAAGGCACTGGATGATCAGAGTTTTGGACCCGAGCTCGGGGTCGGGATCGGGGAGGGTGGAGGGCAGGGGGTGAAGCAGGGAGATTGAAAGCACAGTCAAAGAGGGGGTAACTTGAGATGGGTTTTGAAGGGGGCGAGGCGGAGGGACTGTGGGATGGAGTTCCAGAGAGTGGCAGAAGGCCCGCCCACCAATAGTGGGGTGAGCAAGGCGGGGGGCGTGAAGCAGGCTGGAGCCCGCTGAGCGGAGGGAGCGAACAGGATGGTAGGGGATTAGGAGGTCGCAGAGGTAGGGGGGAGGAAGACTATGGAGGGCTTTGAAAGTGAGATCTTGAATTGTATCCTCTGTGTGATGGGATGTTAGTGGAGTCGGGCGAGGATGGGGGTGATTGGGTCGCGGGGCCTGGTGCGGGAGAGGACGCGGGCTGCAGAGATCTAGATGATCTGCAGCCTATGGAGGGAGGAGTTGGGGAGGTCGACAAGCAATGGGTTTGCATAGTCAAGCCTTGATGTTATGAAGGCGTGTATGAGGGTTTTGGTGGCCTGTGGTGTGAGACTGTGGCGGAGCCGGGCGATGTTGCGGAGGTAGGGGAAGGCAGAGCGGGTCATGGCGCAGATGTGGGGTAGAAAAGATAGTTGAGGATCAAACAAGATGCCAAGGTTCCAGACTGGCTTAGCAAGGTGGAGTGTGCAACCATGGATGGTGATGTTGTCAGCACCTGAGGTGTGGAGGCGCTGACGGGAGCCAATCAGGAGAGCCTCAGTCTTGTTGACATTCAACTGAAGAAAGTTAGCTCTCATCCAGGACTTGATGTCTGACAGACATTCTGTCAGTACAGCAGTAGTCCTGGAGTCAAGGGTGGAGGTAGAGTTGGATGTCATCCACATACATATGGAAATTAACCTCATGTCTGCAGATGATGTCACCACTTTACTGTAAAGTGGAGTGACTGTGTTTGGGCGAATGAAGCACCCAATTTGTGCAGACTGATGTCCACAAACAGCCATGATGCGCATGACCACCTTCATTGATCGATTGTTGGCTGAGATAATGGGAGAAACGCCCTTCTCTTTTTGAATAGCGTCTTGAACAGCCACTTGAATTGGAAATTCGAACTTTATTTAAAATCTCGGTTAATGGTGCAGTGGGGCAGGATTTGAAGAAACTAGGATAGGGGCCGTTTGCAAAGATTTGACCCCATCACACACTGCAAATTCCCTCTATTTTTTCAAATCCATATTTATAATTCATCCGTTCTATCCAATTCATCTTTCCATCTATTTTCTCACTCAACATGTTCATGCTGCACTCCACAGAGATTCATCATCTCGAACAGAATCTGAAGTAGTTATGTTAAAAAAATCTGTGAGATGGAAGAATAAATGAACATTAAGGTAAGAGTGGTCCCCTTGTAATATTATTCATCATTATTATTAGTTACAGCAAAAATCATGCAATACATCATGATAAACAGAACTGCAAATAAGATGCAACTTGTCCAATACGATAGTTTAATGAGGAATACATACATATTTCAATTGCCTCATGCCTGCTCACACATTGTGCACATTTATTAAACTGCGCTGGATGGTTCTGTGCATCATGCAAAAAAGTATGTAAACTCTAGTTTGAAGCTCACCTCAAGGCTAATCCATTCATCCTTCTGCATATTAATGGCTAATGGATTCCCTACAGTACCGATTGTGTCTTGTGTATAGATATACAGTAGATTGTTTTTGCTGGGTGGGTGACACAGATGCAGTTGGGGTTTGTTGCACCGCGCAGCAACATTGCTTACTTTGATGATTTTAGATTGCGCTCAAAAAGGCAGGGATGCTCCTCGCTGAGTCATGAAAGCGCACAAAACGTGACTGGAGTTAAATACCTGTTTTCTCTCCCAAACCAGACCTAGCAAAGCGATGGATTTGAAATGCCTGGTGTGGCGGAATACATTTATACGGAATACCTTTTTTTTAGCATTTGACTGGTAACTCTCTCTATAAAATGCCATTGAGGCTGAGCCAGTCTCAAACGCACGACTTGACTGTTGTCCTATATTTTAACAGATGCCATTGTAAGATAGGCTTGCCTATTGTCAAGTCACAGCAAATAATCACAGAGCCAGTCTGATGGTATCCAAGGAGACAGGGATACATCAATCATCCAAATAATATGCTAAACAACTGCTGCATAACATATATAAAAATAAATAACTCCATGAAAAATTGGACCAAATTTACATTTTTGTGTAAGATTCATTGCATCTGATGTCCTTTGCAAAAAAATCCTTCCACACACGTACACCGGCTTTCACGTTCAACGATTTGGAAAGTTGTGTTTGTCTTGAAATCATCTCTGATCAGTAAAATGAGAATTTGACAGTTTATGTGATGTGAATTATATACACACACACATATACACCCATAATATATATTTCCCACCACCGAACCAGAATAATTTGTTCTCTTGCTAACCCTGTGGGAGTGTTAGCTCTGCAGATCACCACAACGTGAAATCTACATTTTTTTTTAGCATTGAAATGAACATGAATTATCATCACTGAAATGCTTCCAGACAGGTTTTTTTCACCCCCCCCCCCACCCACCCACCCTAGTAAGTCAATTTCCCATTCACATTTCCCACCCACGTCTTTTCTGGTTATTTATTCTGAATCTGGGCAGATGAAAGCTTATTATTTTTGCTGAGTGCAATGTGAAATAAGTTTGATTAACTGGTGAGTTGGCTATCAGCTGGATGTGATGAGGTGGTCGAGATGGGAGGGTGTTGGTGTTTGCAATCCGTTAACAGTTTGTCTGGGGAGGATGCATTGAGTGTGTGACTGGTGTGAAGGATGAATTTAAATGAGGGACGGACCAATGCAAATTATAGCTAAAAGCAGCTGCAGCCCACACTCTCCTCTCTCTCTCTCACTCACTCACACACACATACATACATACATACATACACTGAAAAATCTGGCGACACAACAAAGGCATTCACTGCAATTTCTCTCCCTCCATACCTCTTCTGCTCTCTCTCTCTCTTTCTTTCTTTCTCTCTCTCTCTCTCTCTCATTCCACACCCAAATAACAAAGCATCTGGGAAGAAAATCTTCTGGAAATAAAAGCTTCTCTGTTGATCTACTCTGTTCACCTCCATAAATGGGTATGTATGATTTACATATATATATAGATATATATATATATTCCTTTGCTATCAAACCCATTCATTGTGTTTGGATGTAAATGAGATTAATCATCATCACCATCATCAGTAGAGATGCTTGCTCAATGACTATTTTCTAAATTGACAATTTTAAGAAGAAACAGGTTATTTATCACTCCCTCTCTCTCTTTCATACATGTTGTTTAAACCGAGGCATCCCTTTTTTGATGCAATGATTTCTCTTTGTTGTACAGACAGACAGACAGACAGAGAGATCAATGGCTTTGAATGCACATGTTATATTAAATAAAATGCAAAGAAAAGCTGGAATGGATTTACTGTGTCTCCTTTAATAATAATTTAATTGTTTGTGTGGGTTGTTGTTTGTTGCTTTTAAAAAAATAATTCCAGATCAGCTCAAGATGTCTCTTGACAGAGAGTTGGAGTTTGAACATTTTGATGAGAGAGACAAGGGGATGAGGTACAGCAGAGCATCCAGAGTCAATGGCTTGCCCAGCCCCACGCACAGCGCTCACTGCAGCTTCTATCGGACCAGGACCCTGCAGACTCTCAGCTCGGAGAAAAAAGCCAAGAAAGTGCGCTTTTACCGCAACGGGGATCGTTACTTCAAGGGCATAGTGTACGCTGTGTCCCAGGACCGGTTCCGATCCTTCGAGGCGCTGCTAGCTGACCTGACCCGAACTCTCTCTGATAACGTCAACCTGCCCCAGGGAGTCAGGGTCATCTACACCATCGATGGCTTCAGGAAGATCAGCAGCATGGATGAGCTAGTAGCAGGTCTGTGTGTGTGTGTATATATATATTTATACACATCTATATTTTACATATATTCAGAATTAACCCCCTCCCCACCCAAATAGATACAGCGTACAACACCCTCCTGACATCTAGCATGATTGTCATATGTGTTGCCCACAAAATACACAGTCAATTCACTTTTACAGTATATTCTTTGAAGCACTTTGAGACGTCTTGACGACGTGACAAGGCGCTTAATAATAATACTCCCTGCAGTCCACACCAGCTTGCAGAGCAGGCAGACAGACACACACAAACACTTAACAGCTATGGGTTGTGAGCAGTTCCACCACTTTTCAGCCTCGAATCTATTCTGCCCCACCTTCCTATTCTTCGAGTCTGTGTTATCATAAAAAATGATAATAAAAAGCAATGAATAAACACTTCACTGCGATTCCACACAATCGATATCAATCAGTTGTAATTGTGGGTGGGAAAAAAAACCATTTCAGGCCATATAAAAATATTACCGGTTTAGATTATTTTCTTTGCATTGTCAATAGCTGAGCTGGGTGGACCCGATAAAGCCATTTAAAACACTAGCATTCTTCTAGAATAGCAACACTGTACATGACAATCTATCCGCCCATTGTTTGTGATTGTTTTATGTAAGAATAATAATCCTTGCATTTGATATAACGCTTTATCACATCGTTGAGACGTCTCAAAGCGCTTCACAGGATAAACCGTAAAGTGGAGTAACTGTGCATTTTGTGCGTGAAATGTGGCAGCCAATTGCGCACAGCAGTGGCCCGCACAACAGTGGTGGATTGAGTGACCAAATTATCATGATTTTTTAATATTTTAAATGTATCAGTATGTACACGTAACACGTTTAGTATCACCTTCAGAGCGGTTCTTGTGTTGAGCTCGCCCTCGAGTCAAGGGGCAAGCTTGAGTTGGGGAAGTGTCTGTATCTGAACAATAGATGGATGGATGCTTGAATAAATTCTTACAATGGTTCATGAAGGCACTCTCCTTTGAGAATAATGTAGCTCCCAATCTGTCTGCGGGGGAGGGGAAGGTATGACTGTATCAATAATGTAAGCCGGTTGTCATTTTGAATGGAATATTTTATTGCTGACACGAAGTAAGAGCATACAGTGAATTCAAGGACTCGGTTTCAGAATGGTCCTTATTCTTGAACACAGAGATCATCATTAAATAAAGGGTGGTGGGGGGGGGGGAGATGCAGTGTAGGTAATGTACAGGCGACCTGTGACTTCATAGTTGCCAGAGGTCTCAATTAGAATACAATGATATTAGTTATACAGAGACAATTAATGAATGCATCTCCGTGATACAATTCACCTTCAGAGCAGCCCCACCCCCATCCCCCCACCCCCACCAAGAGCACAAGATTGACTGACAATCATGCAACGGCTTCTTTGGAATAAAATGTTGAAAGTTTTGGGTTGTGCAGTGCAGCTGTTTTGATAAATACAGTAGATTGTAAGGCTGTAGGAAAGGCTGGGGTGTGAGGCACATCTGCACTCACACACACAAAGGGGAGAAAGCTGGGTGGAGCTTGTCTGCTTTCTTCAGTCCTTGTGTAAGGAAGGTGTATATACAGTATTGTCCACGGTTTCTCGTTGCTGATTGTGTTTAAATGAACCCCGTTTTAGTTTTGGGAAAAGAATATTTATTAGCAATAGTCCTAAGCAATGCATGTGTTGATTGTTACCTGCTCTCACTGGTGACTCTTGTGCTAAGAGATCACAAGTAGCTCTCTGGTCAAGAGCAATTACTCCACAAGTGTGGTGTTTGTCACTCACTGATGTGCCAGCTTGGCTTTATTAAAATTAATATTTTAGTGGATTTTTAATGAAGTAAACTGGGTGCCAAGCTTTTATTAGGAGGCATACCAAAGGCTTGTGGCCATTTTGAATAATCAAGCTCTCAATCTGTGATGATGATGGATGGGATTTGATGCACAGAACTGAATGTTGGCAGTTTAACAGAAACCTAATTCATTATATAATTTGTAATATATACGTAGATATTTATGTTTAAAATTGAGCATTATCTTAATTTGCATTTCTGAGAGCAATGCGCTGAATTTGAGTGGTCTACTGATTAAAATAAGGAGCCGAATGTGGATTAGATGATCTATTCTGAACAATATGTCACTGCCCATTCTGCAATATTGGTGCGAATGGGGACATGGCTGCTTCTAGAAATAACCAAACTCAGAAACAAACAGTATTGCTTGAAATGCATTTTAAATGCCATCTCCCCAGGGAAGTCAGAAACCTGCTGGCCTTAAATCACTCCCAAAATGTCAAGTAACCTGCCAGAGAACCCAGGTAACTAAGGAAATAACGCACCATTTTGTTACAGTTTTAGTGCCTAGGATTTTTTTTGTGTGGAACAAAATGTCAAAATGAACACTTTTCTGTCCATGATGTTATTATACTGTAATAACAATTGAAGTTGAGTTAAAGGTACAATATTTTACAATCAATCAGAGTGTTGACTTCATGTAGAAGATAAGACGGTAGTGGAGAAATTGTACATTATCGAGGAGCATTGTGTAAGAAACGTCTTGTAACTCAACTATCCTTCAAGTAATATTGCAATGAGTGGAAGCAACTTTTGAAAAAAAAAAGCATTAATAGGAATCTATGGAGGGATATTTCTAATTCAGAGAAATACCTAACTCAAACCATTGCAAATGTTATTTTTTATAAGTGATTTTAATTCTTCCACCTCCCTTGAAGGTGACTCCATTTTCATGACAGTAGAATATGGATCCATGACTTTCACAAATGTTCTGGTGTATTGCCCAAGCATGCATTCCTCATCTTTGAACGTAGACAGTGAATATTGGTAATTAATGGTAACGTATACTGATAATGCCTTGCTCGTTTGCCTACAAAATATAATCACTATGTTTTACAGTAAATTCTGTAAAGCGCCTTGAGACGTCTTCCTGACTAAACCTAAATGAAAGGATTATTATTAATAGTAATAATAGTAATTGTAGTATCCAAATTTAACATATGTAAACTCCCAGCAGAGTTGTTGGAGAGTTATTTCTCCCCTTCTTCATGCAACAACAACAACAACATCTTGGATTTATATGGCTCCCTCCACGCCGGATGGCGTCTCAGAATGTTTGAAAGCAGTCATAGCATTTCTAAAAGGCATCCAGGGCTGTTAATTGTTTTGTTTCTCATTTTCCCTTTCAATAAACATCTCTGGAACTTCCATCTATAGGTGGGATGCATGGAATTCTCATTTTGGTTTGGATATTCTTAAGCATGATCATCTTCTCTCAAGATTAAACTGTGCTGTGCTCTTTCCCGACCTCACCTGGAAATGCTATGGAATTATGGTCACCATCACATAAACCAAAGCCTTGACCCATACAGGCTGGTGATCTAAACCCTTAGAGGAATAGCTTTTGAGGATCAACTAGATAAAGTCGGGCTCCTCAGTTTCAGAAAGAAAGATGTAACAGGGTAAAGCTGAATGGGTCTGTGAGATAATGGGTTAGAGAAAATGAACAAAACTTTCAAATATGCCAAGGCACCAGGAAATAGGGACACAAGTTTAGGGATGTGAAAGTTCACCATCGCTCTTTATAAAGAGGGCAATTAACAGTTGAAACAGTTAACCAGGAAGGGTGATTGAGGTCAGGACATTAGACCCATTTAATGATGTTATAAAACGGAGATGATAAAGATGCTATTCTAGAAGAATGAGATCAGGTGTCAGCTATGATCCATTTGGTAGCACTCCTGCCTCTAGGTCAGAAGGCAGGGGTAGGCTGACTATGTGGGAAATTGGGAAATTTCGCGAGTGAATGGTTCTCAGGCACCCCCATGAATGTCTCCCAATACTTATCACCCCATATAGCCTAGTTCAGAAGTTCTATTTTAGCCCCGACAAAGTTTTTAAACGCACAGAGGTTTTATCAATGCACCCACAAATTGGAGCCCCCAACTCATCGTCCCTATTTTACAGGATAATCCCGAAGGTTTTCAGGAGCCAGTTCGTCACTGTCGGAAGATTGTGAGTTCAAGCCTCGTGTCCTCTGCCCGACCTCCCCCATCATGGGAGAGTAAACTTTCAGCCATTTTGCACCCGCACCGTGGAACTCCATCCCTCCTGCCAACCCTTTAAAGCCCTCCTTAAGACCTTCTTTTTGACTGTACCTTTTGGTCAACTATCCCTTCCACCTTCCTCAGCTCCCCCCACTCCCAAGATTATGCTCCCTGTCCGCACTGTGAAGCACTTTTGAAACATCCTCCTGATTTGAAAGTCGCTATATAAATGTAAATTATTATTATTGTTATTAAATGCATAGTCCAGGCTGACTCATTATTGTACAGGGGCAGGACTATATTGTCAAAGATGGCATGTGCTCTCATCTACTCGCTGAGATGGACTTTAAAATCACAGGACATTATTTGAAAAGAGAAAGGAGTTTCTCTCAGTGTCCTGACCATCAATCTTCCATATAAAACTGATCATTCACTTCATAGCTGTTTGTGCGTCATTACTGTGCACAAAATGTTACTGCGTTTTCCCACAACTTTTAATATAACAGCAATTAATATGACGTACTTTTAGACATTTTGACTTTGTAGCCTATATATTTAGCCTATATAGGTGCAAGGATTATTATTAAATGGGCTGAAAATGTTCTTCATCCGAAAGTCTTTTGTGCTGCCTGGCTCCAATCAGCAAACTCAGCACAGACCTGGGCTAAATCTTGCGCCTTAGAGGAGCTTTTAAAATGTATTTATTATTAAAAAAAAATCTGCCTTTATGATAATATTGAAGGTGGGAGGGAAGGGACAAGGCAGATGGAGTTCCAGAGAGCAGCCGTGTTTTAATTTGTAATGTGCCACACTGTTTATTCAATAAACACCGAGTCCAGGTAATTCATGGTGATTTTTTTGTCATTATTGTGAACTTCATTTATATTAAAGTTGATTGAAGCCTAAATGATCCCAGTGATTGCTACAGTA